TGATTGTGCAATTCTGTCCTGTCCTTCAAGGATTTATTTCAATTGACTACAACTTTCTTTGCTTGTTTCTAAACATTTTCTGAAGAAACACATGTTTTAGTAGAATTCTTATGGGAATTATTACTAAAAAAAGGAATGCTGCTAATATTTGAACATATACTTGCTGCTATGTTGACTTGTGTGCTATTGTCCAGTTTCATTGTTTTTTCTTTTTTGGAATGCCACCCAATTCCCATATGTATAGAACTGTTGGATTCTAGTAATTCAAGTTGAAGGGTTTAGGTAACAAATGACTAGGCAAAAATAAATAAAAAAATAAAAAAGGTGTTGTGTAGCATGTCATAATTATCGAACCCAAAATACTAACATCACATTCATATTTCTCAGGGATGTGAGACTAGATGTGAATGCTTGAATATTGTCTTCAGTTAACTGACCTCTGCTTTATGGTTGGCTTATAATTTCAAGGATGATATTTAATGCAATTGTAGGTTATATTTTGTGATTAAAAGAATGTGGAAACCACCACCCTTCCCTCTAACATGTTTTTGCTTTTGTCTCTTAGTTTTAATTAGTAAAATTAAGATTCAGGTGTCATGGCATAGCAATTGTGATCTAAAAGGACATACCCTTTATGCAGGCTTTTGAAGATCCATTTGGTGACTCTCCTTTCAAAGCTACCCCTACAGATGCTTTCTCAGCTCAACAGCCCAGTGCTTCTGCTGCTCCTTTCCAGCCTACCATGAATCAAAATACAGAAATGCCCAATGCAGTAGCACCACCAAATGGTGACACATTCTCTGCCATGACTTATTCAGCACCCAATGTTCAACCTCCTTCAACAAATCCAAACTTTTTGCCTCAAGAAATGTCAAGTTCTCATGCAGAAACTGATATTCTGGCAGACATCCTCCCACCATCTGGTCCATCTGCTGTAGCTTCACAGGCAGGTTTTTCACTTCCATCTGGCCACCATCCACAGCCAGGTGCTAGTGTGTATGGGAACTTCAATTCACCAGCAGGGAATATGGTATTGCCGGCAGCTGCACACATGGCTCCTCAGGGCCAGCAATTAAGCAGTGGAGACTTCTTTACACAGGGAGGATCCCCAGCTCCTATCCATTCCAACATGTCTCTACAACCTCCGGCTGGGCCAGTGGTGCAATTTAATAATGGAAACTTAGTTCCACAACAAGGTTCTACAGCTCCAGTTGTCTCGCAATTTTCTCATCATACACCGACTGGATCAGCACCACAATATAACGGTGGAAGCTTTCTCCCACAACATGGCTCTGCTTTCCCTGTTGCTTCACAATTTACTTACCAAACTCCATCTGCTTCATCTCCTCAACATAATGATGTCCTGGGTAATTTGTTTTCACAAGGGCCGAATATTTCCACGGCTTCTCAGACAGCTCTTCCACCTTCAACAGGGTCGCTTGCTATAGTTCCTCAACCATCCAAGGACAAATTCGAGACTAAGTCAACAGTGTGGGCAGATACTCTGAGTAGAGGGCTGGTCAATTTGAATATTTCTGGACGTGAGTATATTCTATATTTAAAAGCAAACTAAACATGTTAGATGGACTTCTGGTGTTCAAGTCCTAATTTATTTTTTGTGGGAGTTGACTTGGTTTTTATTTAATTTTGATATTTCATATGCAGCTAAAACCAATCCATTAGCTGACATTGGAGTTGATTTCGATGCCCTTAATCGCAAGGAAAAGAGAACTGAAAAACAGCCTGTGACTCCAGCTGTATCTACTATCACCATGGGCAAAGCTATGGGATCTGGTACCGGGTTAGGCCGAGCTGGTGCAGGTGTTCTCAGGCCACCTCCAAACCCTACGATTGGTTCTGGCATGGGAATGGCCGGGGGTGTGAATATGGGTATGGGTATGGGTGGTCCTGGTTCTGGCATGGGAATGGGTGGGGGCGTGAATATGGGCATGGGCATGGGTATGGGTGGTCCTGGTTCAGGCATTGGCATGGGAGGTTATGGAGGAATGCATCAACCCATGGGTGTGGGTATGGGAGCAGGGATGAATGCGGGCATGAATATGGGAATGATGCAAGGTGGCCAGATGCCTCCTGGATCGGCCATGCCTGGTGGATATAACCCCATGATGGGCTCCGGTGGTTACACTTCCCAACAACCCTATGGTGGTGGATATCGATGAGATGGAGCTGCCTTGTTGATGTGTTTGTATACCTGCTGATTTTACAAGGTAAAAGGGATGGCATAGCAAACCCAGTGTTGCCATCGCCATGCCATTTCTTGTTCCATTGGATGATCTAAAGATCTATTTTTGATCTCGATGGTTGGAATATCCTGATACGAATCCTGCTGTGATTATGTGTATTCATCATCCTTATATCTCACATACTGGTTGAATTAATGTTCATTTTGAGCCAGAATATTTTTGATTAGATGCATTGCTGAATTTGTAATACGGCGACGATAACCTTTCTCAGGCTGTCGTCACCCTTCTCCTCACATGGAGTATATACTTTTTTGTACCTCATCGGAGATGATTTATACTGTTTGGATACTGAATGGTCAATAAACCTGAAGAATTCATTTGTATGCTCCGCGTTTTCAATGCCCCATCTTATGAAATCAGATGAAGACATTTCATGTTTCAGATGTTGTGTTTTAGTGTTTTTAGTTTGAAAATATATTAAAACAATATTTTTTATTTATAAAAAATTATTTACAATTTGAAAATATATATATAAATTAATTTTAAATAAAAAAATAAAATGCTGTTAGATTTTTTCTAAAATATTTTTAAAACACTTAGCACTTATAATCTTTGTGGTATGGATGTCCCATTTATTTTTTTTATTTTTTTTTGTTTTTTTTTATTTACATGGGGTGTCCGGGTCAGCTTACACGCACCACGACTAATCCACACGGCCCACTGAATATCCTGCAAGCCCAGTGAACAGGTAAGGCACCGTGGGGGTGACAGACGTGCATGGTGAGATTCGAACCCAGGTGCGGAGGAAGGGGACAAGCCCCTCCCACCGCTAGGCCAGAACCTCACTTGCATGAATGTCCCATTTATTAATGCAGAGGGTAGTGATAATTGAAATCTGGTGAGTAATAGTTTGGTGAGCTACTCTAGAGTTTGGACCGGATGATATATCAGTAATTAAAAAAATATAAATTCTATACCATGAGCTAATTAATTATTTAAGGAAATTATCCTATGTTGTATATATATAGAACTTATTAGTCATTACATGAATGCTAAATAGTTTTTTTCTTTTTTTTTCTTTGCATTTTTATTACACAATTTAATTAATTTATTACTTTTAAAAGCAAAAATAAAATAAAATAAATGACCACAAGCCTTTTTAGCATAGCAACCCTAATTTAACTGAATAAAAACATATTTATGTTTATTCACACCAATTTTTTTAACCTACTAAAACTTTAGTAGAATTTCTCACTTTTTTTTACCTACTAAAATTTTAAAAGAATTTCTTACATAAGCTTCCATGTCATTGATTCTACTCCAAATTCACCTTTATATATAATTCTCATTCTGATTCATTCATCCTAGAACTCACCACACATAATGATACTTATCATTCTAAACCAAATATTTATATTTATGTCACAACGTTATCTAAGAAAAAATAAAATTTAAAACATGCTAAGTAATAATATCACATTAATGATTTCATTTGTTCATAATCAAAAATCAAAATAAAAATAATAATTATTATAATTTTAAAATTCAACTCAGTGATCAATCTAGGGCTAACCTAGGGCCTAGCTCGAGTCACAAGTCAAATTGATAGTTGACTTGGGTCAATATGTGTATAAAAATAGTTATTATTATAGTTTTAAGACCCTAACAAAAGGTTGACCTAAAGTAAAGCCCAAGTCATGAGAGAGGATGACCAACCCAAGTTAACCTGAGAAAATATAAAAATAAAAATTATCATAGTTTTAAAATCCGACTTTAATGTTCATCAGTACAAGGCTTGAGTTGCTAGTAGAATGGGTTAACTTATGTTGATTCAAGTCAATTTAAAAATAAAATTAATTATTATTATAATTTTGAAACCTAACTTGAGGTCGAACCAAGACAAGGACTTGGTCAAGGGATGGTTGGGTCAACCCAGGTTAACTCAACTCAACATATGAACAAAAAAATAATTATTATCATAATTTTAAAATCTAATTCTAAAGCTAACATAGGAAAAGACTTAGATCATGAGTCAGAAGGGTCAACCCAAGTTGACCCAAATTTATATAAAAAAAATCAAAGTAACCTTGTTTTGACAAAAAAAAATCAATGAAATTTTACTCATGTTTTATCTCATGTCAACTAGTTCACTAGTCAACTCAAGTTTTTGAATGAATTAAGTCAAATAAATTCTTTCCCTGGTCCATACCTTAGGTTAGTTGGATCTTGTCTAGTGTTTAAAAAAAAATCAAAATAACCTTGTTTTGACAAAAAAAAATCAATAGAATTTTACTTATGTTTTATCTTAGATTAACTGGATCATTAATCGAGTAAGTTTTTAAATGAATCAAATCAAATCAATTCTTTCTCTATTTTTTTTTTTTAACTTTAACTGGTCTAGATCTTAAGTTAACCTAGTAGAGACCCTACGTCAACTGGATCCTATCTATTATTTACTAAACACAATAAAACAAATGATTTAGTCCAATTCAAAGCATATCAAACATAAGATTATACAATTATTTATCTAATTTTATCATGTCTAATCAATATTATTTTGCATATCAAACACTATCTTCTAGGTAGGGTGAGCAAAGAAACTAACTAACCGATTAAATTAATAAAACCAACTAGAAATTAACAAAAAAAAAAACCAAGAAAAGACTTGAATGAAATATTTAGAAAAATAAAAAAATATTCAATGCAATTCCATTTTGGTTTCAAAAGTGTAGAATCGATTGAAGTAAAAGCCACCACTATATGTATAATTTCACAATAGTTCCTAATACTTATAAATAAATAAATAAAAAGGCACACTTTATTTATATTTCCATTCCATTTTTCCTGCTCATCCTAATTACCCAAGCAGGCCCTCCTATGACAAGCTTAGCTGGTGAGAGAGATGAGGAAAAAGAACACAGTACACAGGCAACCTATTGTGGAAGCATCAAGGAAAACAGACCTGCTCTGAGATGTAACTATAACTTTGTCAGCAGTGGCATGAATGCATATAAGAAAACACACGGGCAGTTACTAGCTTGATGGCCCTGCATGACAAAAGAAAACAAAATACTTAGCTGCATAACATGATACAATATTGAGAAAAGATTATCACTAATCACTGTATTGTTTCGTCTACCTAAATTTGTTATCATGATTGCCAAATTCCTTTTTATTTTCCTTTTGCAGACAACCTGCAGTCTGAGAGGGGGGAGGGGGGGGGGGGGGGGGGGGGGGGTTGTGGGAGCATTTTGAATCATGAGAAGAATCAACCAAGATTACAGATTGTTTTTTCTGCATGAAGCATGCATAGCATAGTTTGAACTGTACTATTCTACAGGGACCTTAAGAATCAAGCCAGGTGTGAATGCATTACGCACCTGATGTTCTAGAAGCCGAAACTCCTTTCCTCTGGCCTTTGTTTTCATCTCTTGAAAGTTTCAATGACCTCAACTTGGATGATGACCTAATCGAATGTATCAAAGGAGCCTCTTCCTCTTCCTCCTCGTCCTGCTTCTCTTTTTCATCAGGAGCATCTTCTCGATCTGATCCACTAATTGAATCCTCTTCTTCACTTGAACTTTCCTCATCAAACAATCTCTTTCCCTCTATATTACGCCGCTTCCTTGGACGACCACTGCATCTCCTCTCTTTGTCATCTGCAATGTTCTCTTGTTATTAGCACCAGAGCACATTTGCAACATGAAATAAATAAATAAATAAACAGTGATTTGATTAATCTCAACACAGACCCAAGGTGCATTAAACCACCCTCGTGTAGAGTTCTCACACATGGAACATGCAATTCAATGAAGGAGGTAGAGTTCTCACTCACGGAACATGCAATTCAATGAAGGAGGACAGCATTTAATTAACGAGGTGACTTCCATGCTAATACAATCAATTTCAAAGAGCAGCTAATGGAAGTGCATGGATATTAAGCTGTTTTCATAAGAGAAGAAAACTACCAATAAAAAAAACAAAGAAAAACTACAAGAATAAAGAAAAATACAAAATTAAACAACAAACTAAAGAAAATGAAAACACCAGAAGTAGAAGAGCTGACACAAACAAGATACTGTCCCCTCATCCATCATAACATCCAAAAACTTGCTTGGCAGAATTAATTATTCCTAGTTTACAGATCTTAACGAAGTGTGAAACCTAGATCTTGAAAATGATCTTGCACCGCACAAAGATTTCCATTATTCCAAGGCAATCAATGACTCAATGGCAAAAAAGTGTCAACTTGTACCACTTCCCACGTCACCATCTTACTCAATGCACTATGGCACCAGCATACACGCAGCCCCACCATTTCCAAATCGAAAGACTTGAAACTAGAGGAAACATAGCTGTACATATCACAGTTGTTTAAATGATGACCCATTTTATAAGATCCTCCATTCTTACAGTCTCATAGATGGAAAATTATCTGAATCACATAAAGAGGCTATTTTGGTGGAAGCACCATTTTGATTGCTGTAGTTTTTGTAGCATCATTACCATATGATGATTCCACCAATTCAACATTTGAAAGGCAGAAAGATGAAACAGGCCAAATCTTGTGAAACCCAAACAAGCCCACGTAATTGCTCAACAAACTAAGACAAAGGGTCCATTCAAGATGAATTATAAAAGAAACACCATCTAAGGAACTGTGAAATTAAGCCTGCAACCCGGATGAATACTGAAAGGGCATGCTTAAAAAAAAAAAGAGCTAAAATGTTGGGGCGTATTTTTTTTTCATCATTGGTTCCAAATTTTCCTTCTCACTTTAACATTCCCCAATCCCCATATCTTAATTTCTACTCGTTTTTTATTTTTCTTGCAAATCACGATCATGAGTGTTTTCTTCAAAGCACGATCATGAGTGTATATTTTCTCTGAAAACAAGAGTTGTTGGCTGTCTTTTGATTGTTGAATAAAGTACGTGTACTTTTTTCTTGCCTCCTCATTTATTATCTCTCAAATTTTTTTTCTTATTCTTGCTGGGACATGAACTGGGACAAAACAATTGCTTCTGCTGAATGCTTTTCCAATTGAATCAGGTTCTATTTTTCATATTTCTTTTTTCTTGTGGAGAGAGAGAGAGCATAAGAAGAACAAGAACATTACAATGATTAACATGAACATGCAAAAGCACATCAAGGCCGGTGTCGTCCTCAAAAACCCCCACCCATATTGCCATTCAATATTTATTGTCCCACTACTGGCCAAACTACATATTCAAGTAATTTCACCTTCTTAAAGAAAAAGGGAATAGGGAATAATTTATGTCACAACAAAATCATTCCCATAGAAGATCCAGACCCTTTTTTTATTTCCTACAATAAAAAGATTCATTCTCTGAAATGTAGTTGAAAAAAAAAGTGTAACATTGTATTTTCTTTGTTTAGAGTCGCCTATTTTGAGTAACAAAAAGCATTTGAAACTTACTAAATAAAATGATTTGAGGAAAAAATCAACGGAATATGGAATATAAACGAAAGCACATTAATTTCTGCTAGAGAGAGCATTGATGAAAAGTTAAGAGTAGCACTACCTGGCAAACCTTCATTCTTCACATACTTCTCTCGTAAACTGTCAACAAACGTGTGGTAAGGGCGCCAGCCACTGGGATCTTCATCGGTGTTTACATTCTCTGTCCGGCTTTGGACATCCTTTAGACTAATTGTAAAAGAACATGTTAGGGCCAGTTTGTTTCCATCCATAAAACAGCAGGACTGACTTCAGTGAAAGGTGGGGAAATAAAGGAGGGAGAAGTAGAAGGAAAGAAGAAACTCAAACCATGCTTAAACTATGACCAAATAGATTACTTTTGGAAGGGAGAAGAGGGGGGAACCCATTTACATTCTAATGAAAAATGCCACTAGATGATAATATAAAAGACAGCATCTCTTACATTTCCAGGATGTCATTCACGGGAAGCTTGGGCACAAAGTGAACCACGGCACCTTCCAGAAAAGAGAGCTGTTTTGGAGCATCTAAGAAAGCATATTCAATACCATCCCTAACAATTTTTAGAATATCAGATTTATGCTTGTTCCGAGCAGCACCAATGAATGTCCCAGAAAGTCTAGTAGCAAGATCCTTGCACTCTAGAAAAGATTTGCTAGTGAAAGATTTGTCATCACTTTTGGAAAGATCCACTAGATGCCGATCATAAGCCTAGTCAAATTAAAAATGGCAAATAATATAAGCATCAACATCTTCGCATGCATGCATACCCACACACACACAAGACTTCTTTTGATACAAGATATCAAAGGACTACAGTTTTCTGTGGATTATCCTTAAGTGGTTAAACATCAGAATTCTGCATGAGCACAACCTTTGGAGAAAGATATCAAAACCTTCAATTGGTAGAAATTCATGAAATTACCTGAATTATGTGAACTAATCATAGTATGTTTATGTAAAAAAAACATAACCAGAACTAACCAGATATTTCAAAGGTGAAACCAAGAATAAAATAAAAGAGAATATAGGAAGAATCAAGGTGCTGCTCAGGGCATAAAGTCAGACTCCGTACAAGAAAGCATAAGTAAAGAAGATGCAAGAGAATAACCAAAGAAATCATTTTTCATTAACAAAATTAAAGGTATTCATAAATCTGCATCTTAGACCCAATGTGATTTTCCGTCTCCTACAACACAAGCCATCATACCCTTTTCAATGCTTCTATGAAAATGTTTGGAAAATCATCATTTTTCTTTATGACAGTGATTAGATGCTTGACTATCTCTGCAACACTTGTTCCATGCATCCCAAAGTGAGAAATGATCTCTGGAGTAAGATATTCCTGCATTACAAATACAAGATCCAGTTAGCAAACTCCAAAATACAGGTTGCAAAATTTTCAGATGTTTGTATCACTCAAACAGCAAGCAAATTACAGCCATTGCCTGTGAGATATTTCAACAACCCTGTTCATCACAAGATAAAAGAGTTTTGATTATCTTTACAGCTTAGTAGTATGCACACCTTGGGAACTGCGTTGCTAACTACCAACTTTGCTGAAGCGATCATAACTGCATCTCTGTTTGTCTCCTCAATATACTCTTTCTTTGTGTCTTCATCTTCTGTCTCATCTGTAAGACAAATATTGGAGATAAATAACAGGGGAAGAACAAATATGAAGTGAGTATCCAACATGAAAATATGCACGGATCCACTATTTAAGCATCGATGTTGATTTTAAGGTAAGCAATCCATTTCCCTAGATCAAGATTGAGAAGAATTGCCTCCTGAAGGTGCCATTTACAGGGTTACGAACCAGCAAGCGCATGTAAGAATTGAGTCACCTGAAATATTTAACTGTTATTCACAAAGTTTCCAGAACCTTTGTAGAAAAGATGTATCTGGACAATATCCTAGATGTTCGAGCTTTGTTGAAGAAAAATTTGCCTTTCTAAACAAACACCATGCTTCTGCAAGTATAATACAAACCTGGGCACAGCATAATTTTCATCAAACTGAAAGTTAAGGCATTCCAAAAGGATGCAATATATATTTCCAACAGGTCAAAAATAAGCATTTGGTTAGAGTCGTGTTGGAGAAAATTAACTTACTCTACAAGCTAGCTGATTTCCACATTTGCTCCCTTCCTTGTCTTCAGAAGTGGTACCAAGAAAATACTCAAGTTCCTCAAACAAGGAATTGCGTTTTGACAGTAGAGAGGTTAAGGATGCTTCAGAGACAGTTTCACTATTTACAATAGACTGCAGTGTCCAGGCTACGTGCAAATACATATTGAGAAGAAGAAAACTGACAACCTGGATAAGCAGGAGAAATTATTAGATACAAGGAAGAATATGAAAAATGCAAATAATATAATAAGTTATTCAACAGACCTCATCATCCACATTTCTAAAACTGTGGAGAACCTTAACAATATCCTCGTATAAGCTCTCAATAGGTACAGACCATGACAACTGAAGCTCATATAACCCTTTCAAATTCACAAGCAGAGAATATTCATCACCATCCTGAAAATTTGAGCATGTTACATCTCATCCACTTTAGCATCATCAAGAAGCCAAAAAAACAAAATTAGAAGTTTACTGCTGCTTCTTTCATTGCAGACTTAAGCTTATCATTAAGTTCATCTTCAAGATTCTTCAATTTATTTAAAGCATAATCTTTCAGCTCGCCTTGACTCTCAGTGGAACAGAACTTAATAGCGCTTCCTTGACACCATGTTTGAAAAAAGCCTGTTTCATGAGCTGAAGGACATTTTTGAAATTCTGAAACACAAGACAATCAGTAGTTACTATCTAACCATCATCCTAACAGTATCAAAGAACTTGCATATGGAAAGAAATGCTTTCACTCGCATTCTCCTGCCTCTTTAAGGGATAAAGCCCCAGGTTCATATGAACAATGATCTCAACCAATGATGGAACTTTTGCTTTGTCAGCCATAAATTTGCGGAGAAGTAATGGGTAGTTCTTCATCATTGCAATTGTTATGTCTCGTCTATTATTTTCAAATATTTCCTGACATTTAAAGCAAACTCTACATTAAGGTTGGCATAAACTGTGGAAGTAATACAGATATCATGTTACTGGAAAGGACATCTATATGCAACAGAAAAAGAAGCTAGTAAAACCAGGGAAGGAATACATGATATTGAAACATAAATACTGCACTGAATTATTACAAGTTGGCTTGTTCAATATTTTAAATCTCATAACTGAATTTCTTTTTGCACGAGTGGTCATTCAACTTTAACTGAAACTAAAATTTCAGAATTTTGAGAATTGGTTGCAAGAACAAACTATTCATCAACTGAATTTAGAGTTAACAGAGATGTTTGATGCATAAACAATCACTTAAAATTGACACAATTTTGAATACACAGAAAATTACGCACTTTCTGAGCTTTATTGTAATATTGCTTTCGAGTATCCGAAGCTGGAACAATCCTCTCTCCTACAGCCTTTCTAACAGATGCAGAAAGAAGTCTAACCAAATTTGTTGCATCATCATCAGCAAGCTCAATTAGTGGATTCTCATCCAGGAGCATAGAAATAATACGCTTCCAATCCTGCAAAAGAAAGGAAGTAAATCATGTCTGTTCAGCACATTATCAGAAGACACACAAAATCAAGCCTCTTAGACTTCTTACTTTATCATTAAGTGTCCATCCAAGGTACTTTAAGTATAAATCCTGCAAGAAAAGTGATGGATATGACAAAACCCATACACCAAGAGACTCAATGCATGATGTTCGAATATTAGGATCAATATCACGATACCGATGCACGAATAACCTTCAAAAAGAAAAGAACAAGAAAAGTCAGAAGGCTATTTCAAAAAAAAATGTCAATATAATCAATGAAACAGGAAATTGATTGATTCTTTTCCTTCACTCATAGTAAAACCTACCCAGAAAATATTTTGCGCATCATTTCCTCTAGTACAAGCATCTTATCATGAGTTTCTGATAACCTTTTATTAAGGGACTCCAAACGAGGTCCTTCTGTTCGTTTTTTATTTTCAGCATTTAACTGTCTCTGAGTAGTTTCTCGTTGTGCACCAAGCGCTTTAGCTACCGTTATGAATGAAGTGACAAGTTGAAGCCCCATCAAGGATGCAACTTGACGGTAAATTCTTGGTGGAGTGCTGATTAGTGTCAACACAAAAGAAAATGTAACCAAATTTCAAGAATTAAACCACAATTTTGACCTCATAAAAAAAAGTACTAACCATGATAATGCTATTATATAGTCCATAAATTTGTCAAACAACATCTTATCAAAAAGTGGCCCATCTTGGCATTCAGTGATCAAACTATCTCAGAATGAGAGGAGGTTGTCTTTAAAGTTTTTGAAGTCCTTCCGTTTTGAACCCTGATAATCTTGAACCTCACCCTACAGTTTCACATGAGGATTTTTCACATAAATAAGCAAGCACTCTAACATGTGATCCCAGTGCAGAACTTAGAAAAGCCCCATTGAGCAGTTTTCACATAAGGATTCTAGGAGAGGTTTGAAACTTTAAAAGAACAAGCATAATGAAACAATAAACATATTAAAAGAAATGGTGTAGCATACACTTCTAGCAAGATTAACAAGAGCAACTACAACATCGTCAACATCAGTCTCATCCAGCAAATCTTTCTTGATACGATATTTGGCTCCACATGCCTGAACAATTGCACAATTTTTATCAGTCACAAAGCTAGGAAGAGAGATGCAGCACTGAAATTGAAGTTCATAGACAGCATTAAGCATCTTAAAGGATTTAGTTTTGATTCAATCTTATGCTTCCGATGAGATACTTGCACAATTCCATCCGTATTCCTTGAACTCCTTCATTCTATGTTTTACAGATGAAGAAATTTCAAAAACTTCCATGGTTACCTCAAACAGCGTGGTCAAGAGTTCAACCATTGCTTGTTTTGGATCCTTCTCGTATCGCTCAACAACAAGCTTCACCGCCTGAGGAATTTGTATCTCGTTGCCTTTCATAACATCTACAGCAGAATAATATTCATAAACATATAAAAAACATACGTCCTCCATAAAAAGACGAAACTCTTAGCAGAAAACATCTAATATTGTTGAAAAAGGCATTACAGCAAACCGAAATCACTCCCGGTTCATGATTACCACAACCAAACAAAATCAGGAGTCAATAAATTACCGATCAAGCTTTGATCGGGATTGAGCACGGCTGGGGAAGTGGCATCCTTAGCAGCACGGTTAGGCTTAGATTTCGGGCGAACCTCTTCGAAATCATCCCCGCGCTCCTCCACCTCTTCATTCGCATCGCTCGTTCTCTCCTCGGTCTCGGTCTTGGACCTCTTCCTCTTCTGTTTAAGGAAATTACATTAAAAATAGTGCCTAAAACTAGCATATGGTAGTGCAGATCAGGAGAATTGAAACTTACAGAGCGGTTTCGGGAAGTTTCCGGGTGCTCGTCCATACCTAGCTAGGATTTGTGTTTGAAAATGTAGTAAGAAATTTTGAAAATTCTATTGTAGAGAGAGAAAGAGAACCGTGTCTGTGTGTTGTGATTTTGCTTGCCCTGAAGTTTTTTTTTTTTTTCCCAGGGATTAATGGAAAATTTTCCCGCCAAATGAAATAACTCCGACTTCTAATTTATGGCGTCCGCGATATTTCGTGTGTTTTGAGCTGTGTCCCGTTGTAGCTTTTGTGTGCCCGCGCATTGAATCAACGTCCTTTAATGCAATGGAGAGCTCTAAGTGAGAGTTTTTGATACATAACATGTTTTTTACTTAAAATGTTTTTTATTTTAAAATATAATATTATGATGGTGATTGTATTTTAAAATATATAAAAATAATATTTTTTTTATTTTTTATTTTATTTATAATATTAGCATGTTAAAATAATTTAAAAATACTAAAAAAATTAATTTAAAATAAAAAAATTTAAAAATACTTTCAAAATATATAAAAATACTTAGAGAATATATTTGTTTTTATAACAGTTGCTAGTATCAAACAAATCACATAAATCAAGTCTTTGGTTACCATTTCAATCACATTTTTAGAGTATGGGACTTAGATGGTCCAAACAAGACTTTATAAGAACAAAAAAAAAATTGTTTTTGTTGATTTGTAACCTTAGTTGTTCATCTCTCTCTATCATCAACTTTTTCTAAAGAACAGAGAAAATAATTATTGTTATATTGAATAACCAAAATACTCATCATCTTCCTAAATAACTTTATTTTTTAGGTAACTTAAGATGTTTATAATACATACTTTATTGTTTTGTTTTTGTAGTGTTATAAGATTGAAATCCTAAAAACACACCTCTATTTATTCTTTCTCAATGAAAATCTTTACCAAAAATATGAGTGAGCAAACTTTTAAAGAGCAAAAATTACTCTCATCCTCTTCCATATACCCTAATCTTCTTCCATCATATTTGCTTGATTTTTCTCCTTTTCTCTTTGTTTTTATGACAAGCCATTATCATTTATATTAATAAATCATAATAAGTTATTTTAACAATTTCCTGTATTTATTTTCACTATTTGCATTTCAAACATTATTTCATTATTTTTCATGCCAAAATTATCATCTTCATTTTTGTTATGTTTAAACTTTTGATTTATGTTATTGTTTGAACAAAAGTTGTTCCTTGTTGATTATTGTGGTACAAGAAAAGGAATAACAAATAATAGACTAGAGATTGCTTGTCAAACAATCCAATATTTTTTTTGAAATCCTTAATTCAAAACTATATTTTGAATGAAATCAATTATACGATATTGTTAATTATATAGATTGCATTATGTTTTAAGCTTCTTTAACTCTAGCTTCATTCTTTTACAATTATGTTTTTAGTGTTTTAGGTAATTTATATTGTTTTTAAACAATCTTGAATTCAAAACTATAGATTTGATGAAATCAATTGGCACTTGCTAATCATTTTATCTTTGATCACCAACATTATCAACCTTGTGCTACGGCCTTCTTTAAAGTTTGAAGGATAAGATAGATTAGAAATGAAAAAATATACACTATGTAAACAAAAAAAATCTATCTGCATATTATGCCTTAATAACCCTTTTCTTTTTTCTAATTGTGTGGATTATACTACGAGGAAAGAGAAATGTGAAGACACATAGTTAAAGCCCTCTAATGTTTATTTTAAAAAGATAATTACTACTTGGACTGATAATATAATACGATATTATTATTTTTCATTGAATGAATGCTTTTGGAGCCTTTTATGATATATGCAATCTATATTTTAGCATTACCAACCTCGATAAAGTAGATAATATTTATCATGAATTACCTATAAGTTGTAAATAAATTATGTGATGTTTTTTATTAGATATATTACATGAACTTCATTCTCTTACAATTATTTTCCTTTTTAAGGCAACTGATACAACTAGATGTAGATATTGATTGTTTCAAACTCAAATACTTGGTTGCTTTTAATTTTAAAAAAACATCTCCTTAATTTTTAATGGTTAATTACTTGTGTTTCACATAACATTCGACTACTTGTTAATAGACCTTTGGTCATAATATTGTTTGGGCTTTGTCTTAAGAAATGTTGTTTCATAATGATAGCAGGAATGATGGATTGAGGAATACTAGTAACAAGGATTTCAATTTGGAGGAATAAAGTAGAGATTCAGAGAAAGATAATATTTCTAATTTTATTGATAATGTGAGTCATGTGATGGGTGGTTTTAATGTTGTAAATAGTTGTAGCAATCACAATAATGGTGGGAAGACAAAAACAACTCAATAATCTATACCTAAAGTGTAAAAAAATAGGGTTTTGGAATGGAAGTGCAATTGTCTTTATATTTGGATTGACTGGTTGATAGATGTTTCAAATGAGTGACTATACATCCATTTTTAGGGATAAGAAGGTTGTAGCATAGAAGATGTGATGGAAGAGATTCACTCTATTGATGATGTTTAATTTTGACAGCGAGCTGTATGCTTTTGCAATTGAGTTTTTATGTTTAAAAAGCTAAAGGAGAATACAGACATTAATGATTAATATAGATAGAAAGTTTTGTTGATTAAAATTAATGTTTGAAAAAATATCAAAACCTTGATTTGATTCTATCTTTCTCTCTTGGTTACATTATTATATTTTATTTTAATAATGTTTAACTTAACTTTAATTAAAGAAATGTTAGTTGTTTGCATGCATATGACCTCTTTTAATATTTTTGTGTTCTTAGTGTTATACTCATTTGAATATTATAATTGTTTTGTAAATAATTATAATTTTTTTGTCGTGCTAAAAATTATATTGTTTATTTGTGTGTAAAATTCTTCACAAACCATATATTAATATTCTATTTCAAAAATAATTTGGCTGATTCTTGCTATTTTTATCAACCGCTTAACACTGTTACGATAGATATGACTAGTGTGTTGTTGATGATTATCACATTTGATTGTTATTATTCTATAAAAGTACCTACATCGTATCTTTATTTTAAACTTAGTAAATGTTACATTGTGTAAATTCTATATGGTAATATGTTTATTTCAAAATTAGCAAGTGTGTTAGAACTTTTTCACCAAACTTGATATTGACTGTATATGTTATAGTTGTAGTATTGTTTGGCTTGGATTATTATTGTGGAGAACTTGAGGTAGGAATAGTAAGGTTTGGAAGTTTATTTGGAATTCCAACAACTAGTAGTCAAACATTGTATTCACATGCTTCTATTCTTACATGGTTTTATTGTTTTATGAATTGTTACAATGTCAATTTCAAATTTATTATTTCATATTCACATGTTAAAAATTTTGAGGTCATGGTATGAAGTTTACCTGAACCGTATTATGTTTTGAGATACAAAAATAAGCGACACTTTTAACTTTTTGAATTATAGTTGACATCATAATCATTGCATTGCATAATGTTTGTTTGTTAATTTTAGGTTAGCGTTATATTGCATAAATAAATATCGTGTTTTAATACATAAATCTTAGAAAATATAATATTCATGAAATGCTTTTCTTTGACAATGGAATAAGAAACGACAACAAATGAGTAATTGATTTATTAAGCTCCTTACCATTTAGATAAGATCTACTGAGTAAGTTGTTGCTTTCAAATGAAAATTAATATATTAGAACTAATATTATAACCCTTAGGTAGAATGATGTTATAGTTTATTTGGTAAAGCTTGGAGTTCTTTAATGTTAGCATAAGGATTCGTGTATACCTAATCATTTGCGTTAGTAATGTTATACCCTCTCGCGAGAGCGCGATGTCGTGACAACCCTTTCTTAACAGATTCAGGAGGTCTCTGGTTGAATAATGAGTCACTTCACCTAATATTATGGTTACTAGAAACCTTAATTAGTTTTTTAAATATTCTACGTAAGGAATTGGTTACGTAAAAGAAAAATATTAACATCCATAGTACACCTTACCTGAGATAACCTACATTATTATTATTTTTTGTTTGCTATGGTTTGATGATATTTCTATTTCTATTAGTTTATTATGGTGGGTTTGCTATGATGAACAAACCTTGGTTTTTTAGGTCAAGAACTTGGCCTAAAGGTTGAAATCTCCTTAATTATCATTGAGGCTTCTTTTAGGAAAAGTTTGTAATTTTTTGGTTACTGTGTTATTCCAAATAATATTTCAGATAAAATTCCTTGTAGTTTTTAAAAGAGAATATTTATGGTAAGTACTTTGTATAATTCTAACTAATGATACATAATGTAATTTAGAATATCTCCAACCAAATATAAGCAATTTTAATTTCATAAGTGAAGGTCTAATAATTAATTGAAAATGTTTTGTAAATGATTGTGCTAGAACATTTTAAGTATATACACAAGCAACAAGATGTTCAACTTCAATTCCAATAGAAGTGCAATAATTATCAAATGTTTGAGAAATAAACTCATCATCATTGTTCAATCAAAATTTCATGATTGGATAATCAAGAAATTACACCTGTTGTTTGATAATTTGTGTTGTTAGAAAGTAAACAAACATGCGATCATTTACTTGATATATCAATTAATACTATAAAATATCTAAAAAATTCATATGGTGGATGAATATGTCCACATATATCTCTTTGAATTTTTTTGGGAAAAGATAGTGATTCTATAACAATCTTTGACGGAGATGGTTTGATAATTAATTTACTTTGAGAGCATGCAACACATAAATTTTCACATGGTAAAAGAATTTTTAAGTTTTTTAAAAGATGCCTATTTTAATTTTCAATAATTCATCTCATTATTATTGATCCTAGATGTCCAAGTTGATCATGCCAAAAAGTAAATATTTTTAGGTTAGAACACTTCTGGTGTATAACAATATTTGTTTCAATAGATTTCATGATCGTATAATAAATTCCATAAGAAAAATACATGAAATAATATAAAAGATTTTATTTTTTGTCTTCATTTATTTTTCAATATGATAACCATTAACACGTATATCTTTAAAACCGAGTAATTTCTTCTAGACTCAGGTGAATACAATGCATCTTTAATGCCTTTTTTGTGTTATTTTATAACAAAATATTAGCTCTTACAAAGCATTTAATCATTTATGTTGGAATTGATATTGTAGTGACATTAAATTTAGTTAATATCAAATATTCAAAATATTTTTTTCCTTCAAAATTATATGCGTTGTTATAATTTTTGTTGGAATTGATATTGTAGTGACATTAACTTTAGTTAATATCAAATATTCAAAATATTTTTCTCTTAAGAATTGTATGCATTGTTGCACTATTTACCAAGCATAAATCTCTATCATGAAAAGTCATGCCTCTATTCAAAATATAATTAGAGTTTATTATTTAACTGAAATAAAATTGACATTGTTATTCAAAATGCAAATAAAAATATTAACCATCCTCAAGAATTATACCACTAAATATATTATTTGTTTTATCTGGGTTTTCAAATAAATCAAAAGCACTAATACAAGCATTAACATCAAAATAAACATTATGACTTTCAAAATTATCTTTATGAATAAAATTAGTCTCAATTGCATTTTATTTCAAAGAGGTTTGATATAAATCTATAAGATGTTTTAGCATGCAACAAGTGCAAGATCAATGATTATGCATACTATACCCATGACACTTATCTTCATATTTATGTAAATTCTCGTCCTTTTCTTGTTCGGTTCCCTACGTCTCTATTTCTAATGGTATGATGGTTTGCTTTTTAAAGAATTATCTCTTCTTTTTATTCATTTTTTTTCATATCTATACCAATAGTTTTTTTTTTTTTTTTTGTCTTTTGGACAAAGATTCCATTCACTTCAAGGAATGGTTTGGAATTTGGGATGTGATTGATGATTTTTCATCAAAAACTCATTATTTTGTTTAGCCACAATAAAATATGAAATTAGTTTTGAATACTTCTTGAAATTACATTTTTTATATTGTTGCTATAAGATAATATTTAAGGCATGAAAAAGTACATAATATTTTTTTTTACATTTGGTCTTCTGTGATATTTTCACCATATAATTTTAGCTATGAAGTAATTTTAAAAGGAGTATAATTATATTCACTAATCAATTTAAAATATTATAACCTCATATGCAATCAATTATAACGATCTTAAAAAAGTATGATAAATGTTTGGTGGTCATATATTTCCTTTAGGTTTTGTTACAAAACAAGAGGATTTTTTATTATGGAATATTAAACTTTTAATCTTTTGTAGAGATAATAATGAATAAAAATCATTGTTTTTGAGTAATCTTGCAATAATGTATTATTTTATTCTTTAATGGTCTTTTCAAGATTCATAACTTATAAATGAATCTCATCATCAAGAATCTATGACAAAAAATTATTTTTAGATATATCAAGAATAGTAAATTTAAGTTTTGTCATATTTGATACTATCTATATATATAAAAAACTTACTAAATAAAATCATAATCATGAATATAAAAAAAAGAAAATCAGTTTTTATGCTATTCAGTTTTCAGAAATAGTAGTTATTCAAGAAATATATTTAATTATTTAAAAATCAGTTTTATGATTGAGTTAGGTCCATGAGAAACGATACGGAAAGACATATTCTTTTTTTTTTTAACTGTTTATTTACCTGATGTTTGCTTCCTCATCGGCAATCAATATGGAATACTGTAGAAAAATGGACCATCCATCAAATGGTGTTTCTATTGTGGGCTGTCTGAGGCCATCTTTTGCTGATGAAGAATCGTACTTAAGAAGGTCATTTCACTGTGAAGATAGTGATGGCTGTAATTCAGACTGGAAAGGTATCTAATCGTTGTGCTTACCTTGCCAAACTATCTAATGCAGAAACTTCTAAAGTTCGCTTATTGATTTTTGTTCTGTTAATCCTTATAGGATTTCTAGTTTTCATGGTACTAGCATTTGACTTTTAATAATATTAGTCAATCAGGATGAGTAGTAATTTATTTTTCTGTATCAATTAGGATTGAGAACTTTTAACCAGTGCAGATCAGCTGCTAGGGCTATTCTTACAAGACAACTCCTTTTGTCAATCAATTACAGAAGTTAGAGGTTTTTGTCAAACCTAAATCTTATTCCCTTATCTCCAACTTCAATTCTACTCATGTTTAACATGTTTCTATTTGCTGTTTTTACCATTCTTTGTTCCAACTCTTCATGAAACGAACCTACCATTAGCTGAATCACACTAGTGAAGTGGGATTGATGGGGATACTGAAATCAGATGGATACCTTAAGGAACAAAATAGTTTCATTTGTCGATTATGAATTGAGTATCTACACCATGTTGGATTTTAGGGATGGCATGCTTCGTTGCCAATACTCTTCAGGGATGGTTCTTATGTAAATTTTCACCATTTAAAAGAATGAAATGTGTGCCTGGTATTATATATTTATTCATTCGAGGGAAGTTCTTGGTATTTAGTATAAATCTGATCTATGAAGAACAACATTTTCAGGTGGCATTCTCTATCATTTGCATTAGAACATGCTTGTTATGAGGTTGTGCAATTATTTCATCATATTTATCCTTTTTGCCACATTAGATGGAGAAATTTTGAGCTTTAGCTCCAAAAGCGATGGAAGCAGCTCTGGCTCAACTCCCCATCGTTTGGAGATCTTGAGAATAGAGCTATTTTCGTTGTATAGGTCTCAGGTATTTACATAATAACCATATTTTCAGCACATAAATCATGACCTGCATGGCATTGCATGTTTTCTTTGGGTTGGTTGGAGGCCCAGCTCGCAGGGGCAGGGAGGCTAGATTTTACTTTGAAATATAATTAAGACGAATGTGAACTGAAAAAAAATATATGATTGTTGTTTTACTCAAGGAATTTGTTTTCAGAATTACATTTTTTTCAGCCATTACTAAATTCTAACTGGAGGGAAAGCATTATATAAGTTTTATCTGCAGTGATTTCCACGTACCACAGTTCAACCTTGCCCATGACAACGTGCATTTCTTTGGGTATTGCAGTCTCTGGTTGGTTTACAAAATTTTCAAGATGCAGAGCTTGATGTCCTTGCTCACTCTACTTCAGCAATTCTAGAGCACTTTAGCGGAAAGGGAAGTAGATGCAATGTTGCTCTTAAAGCTCTTTTTAAGAAGAAGGGTCTTCATGTTGGTAGATAAATGCTTTGGATTGCTATCCCTCAATATGTTTGGTTTCTTTATTCAAATTACTTGCAAGCTCTACACAGCATATTTTCTTGTTATGATCTGTAGAACACATTTCTTGTTTGCTTGGATACGTGACATTGTGTTATAGGAACTTGCAAGCAAACCTCTGTAAAAAAGTAAACATGTTCATCGTCTTGTCTTTGTTTCTTCTATGTACGCTTGTTCGAAGTACTCGTAGGCAACAAACACTCACATCCATGACAAAAAAAAGTTACAGCTTGTCTGCTTTGAACAGCAAATGAAGGACTTAAAACATCTTTGAAAAGCTGCATAACTTGGAACTTTTATTGACAAATCAATAAATGGATGGTCATGGAAAAGAAAATTCCAAACCAAGAAATCTATATGTTGTGGCTCGTTGATATTCAAAGAATCACAATTAACGGTTACAGGATCAGCTTCAGATTTAAGAGGACCCAACCACTGATTGGTTTTTTCTCTCAATAAAGTGACATACTTCTGTGCATGCATCAACATTTTGAGGTAGAACAAAACATTCAGTTACCTGTATAATCCCAATATCACCTTTTCCATTCTTGCCAGTGAACTGGTTTTAAACTTGCCTTGTCAAACTGGACAAGATTGAAAGTGATCTAACCACTCTATCACATCATCTTGAAGTTTACAGTAAGCTTCATTCTTTGATCTTCAAGAATTTCATTGAAGTCATAATGGGCTTAGTTTTGACAACCACTTACAAAATGTTTCATCAAGTAATCTGCAGTCAAGAAAATATTGAAAACTGTGTTTGTATTTATGAATAGATTGGCTAGGAGAAAAATCCTGATCGCAAAAACTGTTGTTTTCACAATTCCAAAGTAGTACTCTTGAACGATTCATGTCTTCCCTATTGCCATTGTTGAAATTTTTTCTCTGAAATCCTTGTTATGCCATGAAATCAACTGTGAATAGTATTCAATTACCACTTGAGATAGGAAAAAAGTGAAACACAATCTAATATGCAATTAAGCCCTTAAGAACGGCATCTGAATCCATCAAACAATAATCTCCCAAAGAGATGCTATAAATTTATCAGTGGAAATTAACTCATTTTGCCCTTTTGTGTTTATTTATAAGCTATAAAAACTAATCGGAATGAAGGTGGATGTCCAAATATACAGCTACCCTATACCCTGTTTTACTGTAAGCCATATCAGGCTATCTAAATCAACCATAATAGACTATCCAATCATTGTGATGAAGATTAGAACTAAGAATTTGATTGGAGTCTCTTTCACAACATTCTTCTATCTTTGGTTGAAGACACTTGTGCAACATTTATGAGAACCTTCTGTTTGCTCTCCTGCTCAAGCACAGTCATTTATAGTTGATCAATCTGTTTCCTTTCCTTTTCATGATGCATTCCCTTTGAATTTATATAGGGAGCTAATTTGGTTGGGATTGATAACCTTGGCATGGATGTTAGAATTTTCTCTGGGGTGGAAGCACGAACTCATTGATTCCCCTTCGAAGTCCGGGTAAGCAATCTAATGCATAGTTGAGATATGTAGCACAACAGATAATTCCTTATCCAGGCTAATCAGGTAATAGATTTCCATATATGAAAGCCTGGCCAATGTATAATGTAACTGTCCAAATTGTCTAGTTCCTGCCATTGTTGAAACAGAATGTCAAATATGCTGCATAAGGTGTTTATATATATATATATACATGTAGCAGTGCTATTTGTAAAGGTAGTCACTGGAAAACCAATTTTATTTCTTGTTTTATTTGTTCATGTTTAATGCATATCCATATCTTTTGAATTTGGTCCATAAAGTACAACAGTTCTTTTGTGATAGCATAATAGTAACTCATGTTTCATTCCAAAGATGTCCCTCGATATTAGTCTTATTCTCTCTTTGAAAATTTCTAATCACTTGATACTTTTTTGTGAAGTGTCCACCACTCTCCCCTGACCTTTGAACACATATTTAGAATTCATTATAATGGCACGATCCTCTGCCCTCTGATTTAAGGTTGTTTCTCCACATGTGAGTTCCTTTATATGAGAGGCACTGAAAATGTAACTGGTTGAAGAAATGGATGTTTCATGTATCAAGGGGAATGTGTGCCTGTATTCAAGTGCATTTGTTGCAACTTTTTTAGTTATGCAGGAAAACTTGAACTCAATAACTTCACAAGCAAGAAACATTTAAGTTTTATTGGTGCCTTTGGAATTAATGGAGGCATCCATTGTTCTTGAAATTGAGCCACACGCTCTTTGGCGGGTCTTGACACCAAGTGTCCAGGATAAAAGATTACACTTTTGTTGATTTTTTGTCTATATATAATTTGCAGGCTACCTGTGAAGTTGCTGCACAAAAGCAGATGCATCAGCTGTTGATCCCTCGGTCTCGCCGAAGATGAGCTTGGGGACTCCAAGTCGTAGTTCTCTTCATGTAACTAATTTTAATGAGGGCTTTATTCATAAAATAAAGTGCAGGCTTAGTTCTTCTCTTTTTTCCCCTTTGTTTTTAAACAAGTGGAGATTTGTCAGCAACAGGTTGTGCTAACATATTTGTACATTATTTCAATAAAGGACCAGAAGGAGCTATTTAGTTCCTCCAATATTGTTAACGTGGCTGAATTTCTTTGTGCACCAGCCCCGCACTCCAATCCAGCATTCTTTCAGATTCACTAACAGTCAAGTTTCTATATGTTGGTATGCTTGCATGGATGGCGCATTACGGTTAAGTTTTCAACATTCTCAAGAAAAAGGACAGGTAGGTTTTCAAGCTCTTGAGGAGAATCTAGGGGCGGGGAGGAGGGAGCGATTGTGAAAACCCGTGTCTTTGCGCTTGCGATCTTACTGTTTAAGCTTTTAGCCACTTCTGGTGAAACCAGGAAGCAAATATGGAGAAATCGGTATGCTTATCTTATTACTGTGCAGGTGCCCACCAAAGTAGTTTTTCAAGTTTTTAACAAAAACCATTTGTAAAGTTGGTGAAACAAACCCTAATACGTTATAAATATTAAGAAAGGTTAAAAATATACTTCAAAAAATTAAATGACTGGTGATCACAGTGTCATACAACATAAAATGAAGAACTGCAATTATGCATTAAAAAAAATACTTAGAAGCTGTAAATTGATTATTGATTGTTGATTGTCCCCCTCATTTCCGCTATCCAACACCCCAACTTAGCTGACATCTACAGTGTTTTGGAGCAGCAGTGAGACGAGTGCCCTTTCTCATCCTGAAAGCAGATCCTAAGTCGTGATTTCTAGCCCCTGCAACTTTTCCTATGTTCTCAATTTCATTTCTTCCTCTGATGCCTAACTATGATTTCTTCCCCCATACATCTTTTCCCACATTCTTGTTCTCAATGTCTTGCCCATCTCCAATGCCGGTGCTAGCAAGATCACGCTTGCTACTATCCCCGGTTTTTGAGCTCCCAAGTATAGTTTTTTGACTGCGGTTTCCAGAACAAGCCTCCTCATCAAAATGTTTACTGCTACCCTCAGCGTCTTCATCAACAACATAAGCACAGTGTTGATCCTCTTCCTTGTCACCCCTGCATAAAAAACATAAGAGTTGGGCACGTGTAATATGGTTGGCTCACACAAGGGAGAAAGTGACCTATCATCATATTACCAAGGGATGAGATGAAGAACACGTGAGAAGAGTTATCTTAATTTTTTTATTTTTCATTATCGCACACCAGAGTGAAATTTCAGTGACATCAGATATTTTTTAACTGCATGCCAGCAAGCTATTTTCCAAAACCAAGTTGTCCATGAAAGGATGGTGATTGGTGAAGCATTTCAATACTAGTTTTATTACATTATTAAAAGAGCAGCAGCATTCGTTGTTTTTGTTCCTTTGGACAGTGACTGATTTCAAGCAGCAAACCCAACTGCGTTCCATGGCGATTCCACAATTGTGAAAACATATATTTTTGACGCTACTCGACTTTCACAAGAACTCTTTCTTCTCCCTGTACTGAATAAGTGACCCTAGACTTCATCATTCACAGCAATTTCTATTTCAAAAGAACACAACTTGGCTGACACTCATTCGCAAAGACTCGAATAAAAACGGTAGTTTAACCCAAAAGCCTAGAGCAAGATGAAGTGGCAATAAGAGTACAGCCAGAAAATCCCAAAAAAAAAAAAACAAAGAAAGATGAGAATGAAATGAAGAAAACTAACAGACAAGCAAAAAACTAAAGATTCTACTGGAATTGTGCATTAGTCTATCCTCAGAGGCATCAGGATCACAAAAAGTAACTTGCAGCGAGGGGCCAAGAAAGGTAAAATGAATAGAGCATGCTCAACATGACAGAAATGGGAATAGCCTAGCCATTAAAACACCATCAGGTCCATTTCATGTAGCCTTAACTAAGCGAAGCTTGTGTACAAATCTAGCATGGCTAAATATTACTCTGTTTTGAACCTTGCATCAAAGTCAGGCAGACCTACTTCATCCAAAATATTTTCCATGATCTAACCTTTGGAATCATAACAGAGTTGGGATATGTAACGACATACAGTTTATTCAAACCCAAACTCCAACTCATTTGCTAGTTAGTGCACCTGATAAAGGAGCTCAGGTAAATATCATAGCCCAGAGAGATTTTTTATTATTCTTATGAATTTATCACCTGCAACAGAGAGAAAGATTAAAAAAAAAATTGCATACCCTGAATAAACGACCAGCCCAACAGCAACAGCAGCGAGGGCCAAAAAGTACATCCAATCAACCTGAACAGTATTGACATCAGAGGGAAAATTCCAAGTGTAAACATTTGAGCATGCATAAAACTTGGATTCTCATATCCATACAAAGTTATTAGTTAACAAACCTTCTCATGGTAAGCAAAGATGCGAATCATGACAGCCCACATGTCTGATGTCAGCAAAGACAAGTTGAGCATTGTGGAACCACTAATCTGTAAATAGCAGGAGTCAGAATATTAAGGTGAGCACATGCACGCACCAGTATAAATCATCCATGGGGTCAGCCTAATTAATACTTGTCCTCGAGTGTTGAATAAAACTCTGTTTGGAATATCAGACTGAACTACGCATCTGTCCAAAAGTTACAATTGCAGGTATAAAAAGTTCAAATTTACAATAAATTATAAGAGCCCCTCCTGGGCTCGTGAGAAACATGTAAAAAAGACAAGAACTCTCTGAAGTTAAGACATAAGATGAAGGTGATGGCAGCTTGAAAGTCTAGAATAAATTTTATGTTGAAAATTGGAAACAATGAGGCTAGCAGTAGTAACACCACAAGGTCCTTGACAGCAAAAGAGCGCAGGTTTAAAAAATAACAGAAGCACAACTGATACATATGGATTAGCTCCTCTCATGCTAGCACCAAACTGTCATAGATTATGTAAGTTGAAACCGTATTCATGCCCTATTAATGGTTGGCTTGGCACCATCTCACAAAGCATTATATTGGTGCTAATAATTGATGGATGATAAATTGACAAAATGAAAACACTCTATTAATTTAGAACATAATTAAATACTAATAGAAAGGTTCCAAGTTAATCAGTGGTGGTGTATATGTGGGATATGAACAGATTTCTATTAATATAACAAGTGTTTTAGGTGCCAAGAAGATTTTAATCTGATACATATAAGCTATAAAGTTTGAAAAAGAAATTCAATTCAAAGAGGCAGCTCACAATCAACCATCATCTTTCAAACTCCAATTTGAAGTTCTTCATTCCAATGTCTGGCCATGTTCTTACAAACTTTTAGTTAGTCCTAAGGTAACTCACATCCATACCTTAAGCAGGATCGGGACTAATGAGTAGAACAGGAACATTGCCACTGCAAATCCAAAGAACGGAAGAGCCTGAAACCAAAACCATAAAGCAAACAAATGAAATTAAACTCTAAACATGAATAAATTTCAAAACTTCTATATGTATTAAATTCATGCATTAAATTTAAAGCAAATCAATTATCCCATTGATACTGACAGGATATTTAAACCCCACCTTCATTTTCATATTTTTCTCTTGAATTTTTTTGGCCTGAGCCATTTTACTAATGTGTTTGAATTGATTTTGGTTAAGCATCATCTAACACCAGGAATAAATTACAAAGACATCTATACAGAACTATTAAACCATCAGTTACCAAGCTATCATTCTATTGTGATAGGTGAGTTAAGAGAACAAGAATAAAAGCAAAAATAAATGCAAGATAGAAATGCTCTGGAAGAAGAGAATAGACAAGAAACATACTGCCCCAGCTGACCAGTGAATAGATTTAACTTCGTTGCGCTCCAGAATACTTCTGTAGTTATCACTAAGGAATAAAAATTGGAAATAAAAAAGCAACAATTTACCAACTTGAACCGCACAATCAACTTAACCAAACAATCACAAGTTTTGGATATCATGAGGTTTTAAAGTCGATCACTTAAGAAACAGTAAAAAAATTTATACAGAATAAAATAAAATAACTCATCAGTAGAAAACCCGATGTTCCTCATAGCTATCAAAATGAGTCATTAAATTAAGGATACATTTGAATGGCACTGATTATGGCACCAAAAAAGCCTAGAAGCGACATGAGCTCAACTCTATCAGCTTTTTTCACAAGAAACTCCTGCACAACAGATGGAAATAAAATTTGGATAAATCATTTTATATACTGTGCAAATATAACATATTTATATCATTGAAACATGTATTACTTTAAAGCCCCCTTGATAGAATGAATAAAAACTTAGACTTTAAATTATTCAATAGAAGAATTATTTGTCAATTCATAAATAAGAAACCATCCAATCAATATCTGGAGAACCAACTTCAAACCTAAAACTTAAATTAAAAAAATCAAGCTCTAGCATGAGAATAGAAAGAGCAAATTAAGCTAGCTTTCTCTCGCTGTTTGTCTCTGTTTTTTTCCTTTTGTTTTTGGTTGCCTTGTTTATATGTAAAAGTTTTGCAGAAATATCAAGAAGAGGGTAACAGCTATGTACCTTGCCTCCCAAGGTCAAACTAAAAACCAAAAATAAAAGCAAAAATTGGATTAAGATCATCATTGTACACACTATAATCAACTAAAATGTCAGTAACGCTTTTGTGAAAAAGTAAGCTTATGAGAGAAAAACTGCCAAATGGAAGCAGCATTGAGGATCAGAGAACATGAACCAATATTCAGCAAGACAAAATTATAGCATGCAACTTGGCATACCTCACTGGAATTACTGATAGCATACAGCGTTGCACCAGCAATAACAATAGCATCTCCTTTACGAGGGTTGCTCCCTCCTACAAGAAAACAGCCCACTTATTAAGAGATAATCATCCAATAATACGAGACAAAACTTTGATGGAAATGGATATGAAATATTATACACAATAACATGGGTACAGTTGCATCTTGAATCTTAAAGTTTAAAGTAGAGACAGTATCTCCAGCACTGGAGAATTTAGGCATACAAGGTAATTGATAATACCAACCTTGCCTGGTTTACGAGCAAGTGAAACAATCAAGACACCACCAACATAACATTCTATTTTCAAGGACGGCTATAAGGAAATGGAAAAATTCCCTCCAAAAGATATATTATGAATTACCATTGAGTATAAATGATGGCCTAAGGTTATGGAACAAACAACAACCAAACACTAAAGAAAAATGAATGAAGGAGGCAGGACAAAATTATGGTAAAGTGAATGAAACAGCATATGTTTACCTGATCGATCACCAGCATGAACATCTGAAAAAACAACCATAACAAGGCCTGCAACACAAACTACTACTCCAGCTATTTTCTTGAACCTGTACTTTGTGCTCAAGAAAAACCATGTAAGAACCATAACACAAGGGATCGACCAACAGTCCAGCAGCATGACACTTGTGATCGATGTGTACTGATAGGCCTTCACCACTGCTCATGAATGAGGATAAGATCACTTTAACAGTCACAATTCTCAGTTTATACTTTAATAATGAAAGGATTAGGTAGCATTTCTTTTTGAAAAAATACAAAGCAAGTATCAGTAAGGTCAGTGACATCAAGGTAGAATAACTTGTTCTCATTTATCAATTCACTAATTCTTTTAAGAACTGTTTCCACCATATAGCAAAACAGATTATCAGCAGCAGATGCAACTCTATACTGCTGAGAATGTGTGAGAAGTAACCAGCTTCATGATTGACCACAACAAAAGGAGCAAAATGTCTATTTAAAGTACTTAATGCAATTTCATAGAATCACAACTAGATGCTAATCAGAGAAAATGAATGGGGCTTAAGTGAAAAGACCACCGATACCAAATTGATTATTTGCTTTATAATCAAGAGAGATGCAATTTCCTAGCAGGAAGTTTACATCTTTAGGATTCTCTAATCTGTAGATACTAAAAATACAAGATCGGTTAAAAAAGATTGAAAGCAAATGAAAAAAAAAAGAGCTGTTAGTACAACTGTTTAGATTAAAAGTCAACGGTAGTGCAGAAAATACAAGAACTAAATACCTAGTCAGTACCGCCACTAAAGTATTTTACTCACCAAGAAAATTGGCTTCTACATCCACCAATGAAAGAATCGCATAGTAGAACCATTTTGCCTGCACAGATTCCAAAAGGAGATGCAACAACATAAACATCTCAAATTAAAATTAAAATGAAAAAAAAAAAGCAAAACAATGAAAAAGATCATTGAAAAAAGAGTTTCAGCCCAAATTCTTCACTATCAACTCAAATTGGTTTATATTGCATCTGCATCAATATTCTACTCTGAGGAATTATTTCATCAGGAACTCTCCTATCACCTCAAAAAATGATCAAGCGGATTTCTCTCAGTTTTTCATGTCCTTACTTTCTTACACTCATCCACTGCATCCCCGCAGCTTAATGACGGACATCCAAGAAATAAATTCTTTTATAATCAATCACTTCCGAACAACACAAAACTCCAATTATTGAAGCAAATTCAGCAAATGAGTTCACTTTTAAATTACATAGTGATAACTAACCAATTGCTTGTGGTCAAATAATCTGGGGGGGGGGGGGGGGGGGGGGTTGGTTGTGAAGAATTGGATTTAAAGTTGAAACAAAGAAAATCACCTTAAGTGCTTGCTTCCGGTAAAGCATAATACTTCCATAAACAATGGCCAAGAAAACGTAGTTGAGAAAAGACTGAGAAGTCGGTGCATTAATTCCTGAATTGAAATGGCAAACATATACAGGGAATCGAGTTAGAATACTACTGTATCAAAAACACAAAAAAATAAAAATGAAATTTGCTATCTGACAACAACACAGCTAGCTAATCAGGGGGGCGGAGGAAAAGAATTCTGAGCAAGTAAAGATATAAAAATCAAATCTTTAATGAGCTAAAGAAAGAAGAAACAGGAGTTGCACCTCTTCTACAAAGTTCAGAGGATGAAAATCCAGTAGAAGTAATAAGAAGAGAGAGAAACTGTCCCAACCCAAGAGCAAACAACGTTTTCGTTGTACAAAACTCCTTAAAGCTCAACATTGTTTTCCTCTTAATATCTCTGTTAAACACAAACACCTAACAATCTACAAAGAATTTCCGAAAACCCAGTTGTGTAGTTCAAGGATAAACAAAACCCAACTTTGTAATGTCTTAATGGGATTGAGTTGGCAAAAGAATATGAACCCACTTCAGGTTTAGTCTTTTTGATGACGGAAATGACAGGAAAAAAGAGTTGATGGTTGATGATGATATTGATAGATACAGAGTGAGTGACAGCCACCAACTTGACAGTGAAGGTGGAAAAGGAAAGTTTGTTTTCTACATGCAATTTGATTCCAGAAAAAACAGAATCAAGATCAACCAACGGCTGTTTGGAGTTCCGAGATTCTATGCTGAACTTGACTCCAGACGTTGAAGTATGGAGAGAGAGAAGGAGAGGGAGGGAGACGGGAGGTTCGGCAACTTTGATGGCCACCTTTCTTCTTCTATTCTTTTTGCAGCGTACTAAAATAGTTGCCCACGCTGCCGGTCATATAAATTTTTTAATATAAAAACGCATATAGATGTTACTAGTATGTTTTGTACTATGGAATAAAAAAGTTGTATAAAAATTGATTTGATTTTAATTTAATTATTTTATAAATTAAAAATAATCTAAAAATTCATTAGAATATAGTTTGATAAAAAAAATATAACATGTTTTTAAAAAATATTAATGTGAAAACATGTTAAAATGTTAAATTGTTGTAGGTTAATCTACTAAATTCACGACTTGAATTATAATTAGAGTAATTTTATAAAAACAAATCAAGATTAAATATAAAATTTAATTTTTAATTAAATTAATATTAAAAAATAAAATTAAAAAAATCAATAAAAAACTAAAAAAAATAACTTGACTCAACTGTGTATCAAGTAATGAGACCGGGATAATTTTATAAAAAGCAAAATGAAAAAAAATTATAAAATCTAATTCTAAATTAATCAAATATTAAAATATAAAATTAAAAAATAAATTAATTAAAAAATAATATTTTTTTAATTTTAGTTAACCTATCAAATCCATGATCTTAGTCATGAAATCGAGGTAATCTTATAGAAAGTAAATAAAAAAATTACCGAAGTCAACCTAGATTAACTTGTCAAATCCATGATCAAGGTAATGAGATAGTGATAATCTCATAAAACATAAATTAAAGCAAATTATGAAGTTCAATATTCAATAAACTCATTGTTTAATGTTGGATTTTTTTTAAAAAAATCAATCTAAAAACTAAACACAATAAAAATACTTCATTTTACACAGGTTAACTCGCAAAACACGTGACCTGAGTTATAAAACATAAATAATCTCATAGAAAGCAAATCAAAATAAATCATAAAACCTAATTTATAATCAACTCAACGCTGAAGGATGAAATTAAAAAAATGTCAAAAAAGATAAAAAAAAAACTCGAGCTAACTTAATTAACTCACCAGATTTACAACCCAAGTCATGAAATTAGGATAATCTCATAAAAAATAAATAAAAATAAATCATGAAACGTAATTTCCAATCAACTTAATATTGAAAAAATAAAAATAAAAAATCAATTAAAAAATAAAAAATAGAGTCAATTGAGTTAACTCATTAAACCTGTAACATTAGTTATGAGATCAAACTAACCACATATAAAGTAAACCATAATAAATTATTATCTACTAAACTAAATATTAAGATATGAAATTAAAAAAATATATTAAAAAAACACTATAAAAATAAATATGTTTTGAGGTGGTGAATAACACCTCTTTTAGTTTATACTATAGTAAAAAAAGAAAAAAAAACTTGTGTTAATCAAGTATGTATAAAGTAAATCACAATAAATTATAAAACTCAATTTTTAATAAACTAAATGTTAAAGTATAAAATTAGAAAATAAATACTGATTAAAAAAGTCAAATAAAGAACTTAAGTCAACAAAGTTAACTTACTAACCTGTGACATGAATTATAAGACTGAACTAATCACGTATAAAACAAATCATAATTAATTATAAAGCCTAATATCTAATAAATTAAATAGCGATATATGGAAAAATATAAACAAATAACTATTAAAATAAATAGTATTTTGCGAGGTGATGAACACTAAAATCACCACATCTTTTAGTTTATACCATGATAATTAAAAAAATTAGAAAAAAATACTATTGAAATGAATAGTTTTTGTTAAGTGATCAATATTAATATCACCATCTCTTTTAATTTATACTATAATAATTTATTTATATTTTCTTGGAGTAATTTATAAATTAGTTTCTTTATTGTTTAGAAATGAATTGACTCATCTCTTTTATTTTAAAAATTAATTATTTAATGTTTTAACTAGTATTGATCACATAATTTAATATTATTTTAATTTAAATAATATCTTTTTTTATAGTTCTATGGATTTTTTGTTTACTTATTTAAAAATAAATATAAATAAATTGAAGAAGAAAATAAAATAAAAAAGGATTAAACTATTAGTTTTTGAAACAAGAGAGACTAATTGATTATTTTATAAAAACTAAAGTGACTAATTTATAATATACTCTATTTTCTTGTATGAATTGAATAATTACATATCATTTTTCTGTAATAATTTTAAACATGGGGTTTTTGTCACAGTTTTGATTGATCTTATAATATAGCATCAATTATTTCTAAGAATAGAAAAATTATACATACACTGAAAAAATAATGAATCACTGTAGAAATAATATAATTATAATTTTTTTTATAATAGATATGATATATCTGTAATTTTTTGGTTAATGTTTTAGAAGCATTATTGTTTAGATTTCTTCTTCTTCTTCTTCTTTTACCTTATACTTAAACATATTTATCACTTTATTTATTTATCACTATTTTTTTTGTTCTTATCTTTTTTTTTGTAATTAATTCTTTAAACCTTTCTTCTTCTTCTTTTTCCTTCATTTTTTTTAAATTATTATGCAAAAACTAAAAGGAAAATATGTTTTGGTGTGGCAATTACAACATTGTCCTATTTTTATTTTATGTTAAAAGTTAACTTTAAGTTTTACAAGTTTGTATTAACACATGTGATCTTCACTTTATCTTTTTATATATAAATATTGGTTTTTTTATTTATAATTATACTTTTTATTTGATATCAACAAATATATTAATAACATTCACATATTCATTCTTCTGCATTAAAAAAATTATTCAACCACAATAAAGCGAGTCAAATGGTTGCATTAACATTTTGTTTGCATTTATTAACATATATATTTATTGATTTATTTAATTAAATGTATATATAGGCTTTTCAATTTATAATTTTGATTTTTTTCTGTAAGAATATGTTGAAAAAAGCTATATATTTATTTTTTTATTAAAAAAATTTATTCAACTCATAAAGCATAATTCAAATAACTAGTAGAATGTAATATGAATTCCTCCTAAGAAAATATATTTAGTATAGTATGTGTATGATCGGCATTTCGAGGATCCACATTGTATATTTTCGGCAACAAATATAGGAAAAGCCCAAGTTCGACCAATACGATTGACATTCGCTTCACGAGGTAAAATGCCTTTCCCAAATAATGGTTTTTTCAGTGTTGCAGCGATTGGAATTCTTTGACTTCAACTCTTAAATCATTATATTTAAAAAGCTTTAATTTCACAGAAATAGGAAATAACTCATTATGGTTCTTTGGAAATTGCCAAAAATTTAGAGACCTGTACGTGAGCCCCTTACCCATTAATTCATCCACATTCGATTATAACCTCATAAAATAAATAAAAAATAAAACTTAATTACTAACTAATCAAGTATTTAAAAATAAATTATAAATTTATTTTTTTTAAAGAATAAAAAAAACTTGACTCGAACGAATGAAGATGCTTGATTAACTATTATTAAATGATAAAATTAAAAAAAAAAAAACAAATAACCTAAAAAAATCAAAGTCAAATTGAGAAAATATTTGAAACTCGTGATCTAAGTTATGAAACTGGATTATATCATAAAAAGCAAACCTAAAAAAACTATAAATAAAAAATCTCAATCATCCAAAACTAAAAAATAAAATAAATAACAATCTCAATCATCCAAAACTAAAAAATAAAACAAATAACAATGACAAAATGATGACAAAATCTAGTATAAAAACTAAATCAAGAAAAGGATAAAAAACAAAAAATAGCAATAAAAATAATGAGGACCAAGTATGTTAGATGAAAATTGAAAGAGAATCAAATTTAAAACAATTCAAATTTATAAATTATTTTAAATAAAAAAAATTATAAAAAAATAAAGATCTAATTGAAGGGATATTTTAAAAAATTAAAGGCCACAAAAAAAAAAACTAACAATGATAAACTAGTGGATTGTTGGCCTCATAAGCCGCCTGAAGATGGAGGGTCACCAAGATGATTTGAATAACATCTTGTAAACCATTATAAATCTGCTAGAAGATGACTCACATGTTGCTTCTAAGTATCTCCAAACTGCACGAGCCAATCACTATATATATATATATATATATATTAAATTGCTCCTCTTTTAACTTGGTTATAATAAAAAATCAACTTGAAGAATATGAAAATGCCCTCGTAAGCCAGCTTAATAATTTTATATTTTAAAAGTTATTTTATTATGCTTGAAAAAAATAAATCCCTAATTTAATACTATTTTTTTCATGGGTGTTTATGTATTTTTATTGTGTAAAAAATATGAAAAGATCAATTTGTTTCATTCAATTTCAATCAATAAGTCATGTCAAAAAAGGATATTATCCTATTAACAAGGTCATTTTTTTAATTAAAAAGTATAAACACATAAAAACATTATTCAAATTTACAGTTTTTTCTAGAGCACAATAAATCACTTATCTCTTTTAGTATTTTTTAATACCTAGACTCAAGTTTTATAGACATTCATTTTCTATATGAATAGTTTTTTGTTTTTTATTTTATGTTAAGTTTATTGTCTAACTGATTTGTATATCAATTAAGACTAATATTTTTTTACATTCTTATATTGCTTTAGTCTATTCTAAGCAATTTTAATAAATTATCTTAATGCTAAACTCAAAGTTCAAATACAATAAATCAAATAAGGAAATAAACTCCTTATAATTTACAATAATAAATGTTTACTTGTTCTAAACTAATAAAAAACGTTTTCCATTTATTATCCTATTCTTTTTAATATAGATAAAAACTAGATAACTATCCCACACTCTAGTGTGGATAGTTACAAAATTATTTTGAATGTAAAAGAAATATATAAGTGTTTCTAACATATTTTTTAACAATATAATGTTTTTGAATTATGAACTAAAAATTTGATGAATGCATTCAGTATATTTCTATGAATCAATAAATATTAAAAAAAGTTGTTAACATTAATAAAGATTAAGTCATCAAGTTTACAATAGATACAAATTAGAATATTTGATCTTGCCTTAGGAGAAGCCTTTGATTTTCTTTATTTAATTATATAGATACAATTTTTTAATAAGAAGAGTAATAATTTAAATTTCATTGAAACAAACTAATTTGCTAATATAATTTTTCCTTCTCTTATTAATATTTTTAAAATTAATAAAAAAAATTAAACTTTTGTTCCGTGCCATTCATTTAATAAAAATCAAAAGCAATCAAAACACATATAAAAAAATTGAAAATTAAAAATAGGATAAAAAAGATATTTTTCTAATTAAAACCCTGTTATCTAATTAACACACTCTTTTTAAAAAAAAATGTTTTACCAAAATATTTGTTATCTAGACAACATCTTCATCATCATTAACTGAAGTATGAATTTTATATATAGATATAAAAACAATATTTAAATAATTTGGATGTGAGTGTATTAGAAAATATATAAGAATAAAACAATGCTTGTAAGTTGCCACATGGAGGCATTTGATAATGTCATTAAATATAGCCTAATAGGTCAACCTAGATATTTCTTGACTTAGTTTATTGCCTAGCTCAAGTTTCAAATAAAACTATATAGGAGTTGGTTCAATTATTCAATGCGACATAATCAATTTGGTTAAACTAAAAGCCAACCAAACAACAAGTCAAAACTATTTTAATTTAAAAAAAAATTAAAACATCTTTTTTTAATATTAAGATAACGACATCTGAAATCGACACAAGTCAATCTAAGTTAACTTATTGTTAATAAACAAGAAAAGAAAATGTATAAGTTTGAAAGAAGCATCCAAACAATGACATATAAAATTTGACAAAGTAATGCTGGCAAATGAGTTCAAAATCAACAAAGTTGATAATTAGTTTTATGTAGAACACAAATAAATGTTAGGAAATTTTATTTCTTTATGTGGATGATATCTTATTTTGAAAAGTAATGACTACATGATAAAGTCTACTAAGAAAATGTCAACTAATAAATTTAACATGAAAATCTTTGGTGTTACATACATCATCCTAAGATATAAGATATATGATGAATTGATAATATTATAATCTCATCATGTTGAGAAAATTCTCAATAAACTTTATAGAGGTGATAATAGCATTGTGAAAACACTAAAAGACACAAGTGTCCATTTATCCAAAAATAAAGGTGAGTGAGGAGACCAATTTGAATATTCTCATATAATTAGGAGCTTTATGCATGTTATAAATTGCACAAGACCTAATATTTTTTATTTGGTTAAAAAACTAAGTAGATTTACTAGTAATTCAAGTGTGGATCATTAGAAAGAAATATTTAAGAAGCACCTTAGGCTACAAGTTGCACTATAGCAGGTACTTGATCGTGGTTGAAGGGTATAACGATATCAACTGGATATTCGATACTAAATATTTGAAATCTATTAGTGGATATGTCTTTATACTTGATAGAGCAATTATGTCATGAAAATCTTTTAAATAAATGTGTCTCACAAAATCCATGATGAAATCAAAGTTTATTTTAATAAAGTTAGAGAGGAAGTCAAATAACTTTGGATTTCTTAGAGGATATTCCATGTTGGTCAAAACTAGTGCCATCTATTTGCATCCATTATGATGGTCAATCAAAAATCGGCAATGCATAAAGTAATATGTTTAATGGTAAGTTTAGACACATACATAATAGACATAATATCATTAAACATTTGCTCTCAAATGAAATTATTTTCATTAACTATTTAAAGCTGAAAGAAAATATTATGGATCCAATAACAAAAAAATTATTAAGAGAGCTTATATATATCTCATCGACGGCAATGAGTTTAAAGTCTTAAAAGAATAAATAAAAAATATAATGATGATAACCATACCTATTTGATTAGAGATCCCAATATATAAGTTTTAATATTAATAGCACTTGAAAATTATTATTTTCTGATTATTCCTATAATGAAATAAGTGGTAGTTATAGTGTAATCACAAGTGAGCGGTGCTCTTAATGATTTTTTTTTTTAATCTTGGTATATTAAGTGGAGTATAATATAATAATCTTAATAAAAGATAACCTATATGAGTGAGAAATGCGATCTTTCCTTTGAGAATTTTAGTAAATATTGAATTCTCCAAAGCATCCATGAATCAAAGAGCTATTCAACACTAAAATAATCATAATAGTGAGAACAAAAAGAAATCTCTAGGTAGAGAACTATGTGAGTAATATTTTCTTAATTTATACAAAAATTGAATAGTTCAAGACATTATGTTTATTATTTAACGAGTAAATCTATTAGTATTTCATTAAAAAGTTTCAAAGCCAAAAGTTATCTCTCTTGATGTATTGGTCTACCAAATCAATATCTCTCTACAAGTTTTTAAGTTATTTTTTTTAAAATTGATTAGAAAAATTCCATTCATATAGGGAATTGTTAGAAAATCTATGTAAGAACATGGTTAATGAACATATTTGAAATCAAATTAAAAGTAAGGTTCACTCACTTTTAGGGTTAAGATTTTGTTGGAATCTCCAATATAATTTTTTAATATGAAACATTAACATGTATTAAATAAATTATAGGTGAATAAAAAATTATCTTTAAAGAATCATTGATTGACATGTTTTGAAGAAATTTAAAACCCTCTAAAAGAAATCTATCCCATATAGAAAAAAAATAAAACTTTCTTGGTGTTTATTTAGAGGAAAGTTGAGAAGTTAAAATTAGACCCAAATAGTCCCCGAGCTTCTTAAAAGAGAGATCCTAAGCAAAGTGGATTTTGAGTTAAAACCTACACACATGCCTATGGCCTGGCCCGACTCGACTTGTGCCAGGGCCTCGATCCTTGAGCTAGACTTAGGTTTGAATTTATTGTAAAATAATTTTTTATCCTACAAAATCTTATTTTTTTGCCAACTTAAATTTGAGTTTGGTTCTGATCCAAAAGGAACTATTTTTTTGAGCCTATTGTATTGTTTAGTCTAAACCATGAATGATAGAATCTCATTGATTTGCTTCTAGAAGGATTTTATTCAAACCTAAACATTTTTTTCAATTCAAAAGATATTTTATTTAATCAACAAATATTTAGGTTTAATTATAGTTTTATGGTAAATAATCAAAGCTATCAATGTGGAAATTCCATAAGCTTTTAGTCCTTGAAATTCTCTATAAAAAAGGACTAAAGAGAGTGTTTAAGGTTGGTTTTTTTTCCACTATTTGAGATAGGCATTTCATCTATTTTTTCAATCCTTCTCATTCTAGTCTCTTAAAGCTCCTTTTGTTCATAATTTTCTTTTAAAATCTAGAGTTTAATATCAGTCCTTACTGAAAAATTTCAAATCCAATTTCATTGGTTCATTCAATTTTGTTTAAAAGTACATCTAAATAAGATAATAATATTAAAATATCAAAAGACTTATTTAAATCAAACATTTTATATAAAGTAGGGAGTAATAAAGCTTTAAGGACAAATAATTAATCATGACGACAACAACAACATATTTCAAGTTAGCTATGTGCTAATTTCTTGAACAAGTAAATATCTTTATTGGTTTTGCTTAAACATTTTCTTAATTTATGCTTAGAATGCATGCTAGGAGCTATTTTGATTCTTTCATATATAATTCTCTACATGATTAGTTTGCATATTATGATTGTATTTTGATCTTTTATGAAAAATTATATATTTTTTCTTAATAAACATGCTAATTTTTATTGTGATTGTAATTTTATTATGATCTTATGAATTATATAATTATAAACTAAATATATATGCTCACTTGTTTTTTTATATGTGACTATTTCAAATAAGAACTACAACCCCCGTTAAGTAGATTATGATTAGATTGTTTTTTAATAAAACAAATTTATATTGTTTCTATTAAATGTATATTTGATATTGTGATAATAACTTTTACGATTATAATTTAAAAAGATAGATTAAAAAGAAGTTAAAAATCACAGTTTTTTCATAATCAAAATTTTAAGATTGAGTTTTTAAAGGAATCTATGCAAAATTATGGTGTGTATTAAATAATATTTTTTAAAAATTATAATTAAAACAAAACTTCAACCATTCATGATGCACAATCACACCAACCCTTGATGGACTACAGATAATTACTTTTCCTATCTTTCCATAATCAAAAGCAAGTAAGAATATTGAGCTTTTGCTTTTATCAAATGACAATGCTTCTGCTAGCCGCGTAATGTGGGATTGGTGTCCTTTTCCTCTTCGACCGATCAATACAATATTACATGGTTTTGGTTTTTTACTTGATTTAATATTACTCATATTCCATTATTGATTTTGACTACTTAAGAAAAGCAAAGATTCTGAATATTCCATTATTGATTTTGACTACTTAAGTAAAGCAAAGATTCTGACATCATCATCATCTGACTTCTCAACTATTCTCGAGTGGTGGGAGACTTCATACTTCTGCGATCAGCTGCCCTTCTTTTCTTCTAGTTCGAGGAAGGATATCTACAATAAAGATGACAATTCGAGACAATAACACAATAAATATGTATATTTTGAAGAATTTTACATCAAAAATTATATTTTTAAATAAATGCATATAATATTAAAGTTACAATAATCAAATAAAATTTTAAGAAATGATATGTACATGGCAGAAATATTAATGGTGTATCATTTAAATAATAAGATTTCAATTATAATACGCAACATCAAATGATGATATAATAAATTGATGATGATATGACACTAATAACATATAAAACAGTTCTGAGGGAAAATTTTCCTCCATTTTTTTTTATTAATTTAACAGTTCTGTTCTTCTCTAAGCTAAAAAAAGTAATTATATTTTATATTTTATTTCAAAAAGTAGAAAAAACCAAAGAAATAGAGGGAGCTTTTCCATAAAAAATCAAAATCAAAATCAAAATTTATAATAGTTATCTTATTTTTTTATATTTATGATAATCTAACTAAAATATTACTTTTAAAAATTATCATGAAAAAGTTATACTTATTAATTAAAAAAATATTTTATATTAGATTCATAATAAAAAATAAATTTATGACATTAATCAAATATGAAAATGTAAAAAGAAAATAATTTTAATGTCTTGCATTGTTAGAAGTTCATTCTATATAATGTTCTTTTTACAAGTAAAACAAAATAAATGGAGGGAAATTCCCCTTCAAATTTTTTTTTCATGTCATTTTATTATTATATCATCATTCATTTGCCATATATCACTTATGGGGTGTGTAGAAATATAGTAATAATTATTTTTTACTCAAAAATACATTAAGATAATATTTTTTTATTTTTAAAAAAATATTTTTAATATCAATATATCAAAATAATATAAAAATATAAAAAATTAATTTTTAATATATTTTTTAAAACTTTCATGTAATGTTATTTGAAACACAATGTACTTTAATATCGATATTATAATTGCTATATCATCACTTAAATGATATGTTATCAATGTTTCTATATAATTGTCACCTCTTTAAATTTTTCTTGATTATTATCATTTTCAGAGTCTTCATATGTATTTAAAAACAACTAAATTTATACTTTATTGTTAAAATTTTGAAAACCCACACACTATTATGTTATTATTTCTGTCAATTTTATATCTAGCATCACCCAGTTTGATTATATTTGTTTATCTCATTTTTAAGATTCACTTGTCCCATCATTGATCCTTGAACAATTTATTTTTTTGTTAATATAATTCTTATAAATCTAGTAAAACTAAATTGTTTATTCATATTTTATTTTTTACCTGGTTTTTAAGATTTTAAGTAAAATCACAACAAATCTCATAATTTTCTATTACTTGAATTTAAGACCATCTTTTCAATGAGTTAATGTATATGAATATCATGCTAAAGTATGATTTCTTATTTTAAACAAAATTATGTATTAAATAATTAGTTGAAGAATTGGGAGAATTCCACCTGATTTTGAATTTTTTAAATTTATACTTAATTTTTAAGAACCGAAACTTCAAATTGTCTTAAGCCCAAATTGTATCTAACCTAGACCTATAACTCCAGTTATTTGTAGTTTAGTTCTTATTCGATCAAGCAACTAGTTCATTAAGATTATAAATCTATCTTTTAATTCATATGTTTTTAAACATAATGAAGGAAAAATTACAGAAAAAGCCATTGTTTGAATTTCATTTTATTGAATATTTTTTATAAAACAAGCCACTAAAAACCCAATATTTTTGCAAAATAACTCATGATAACATTTTTTTTATTGCTCCTAATTGTATTAATGAGCCCCAAAATTCAAGATGTTTATGAATAAAGTTGATGTGTTAGATAATAAGTTATTTTTTTTAGTTCAAACAATCTGATATATTTTTTTTAATCAAGATCTTTAGTGACTTGATATGTAAAGTTTCGATAGTTAATAACTAGTAGTAGGTGATGCCTAATAAGTTATGTACCGTTAGTTGTTGTAGCAGCAGGTAATGCTTGAAAAATTAGGTGACTAGTAGTTGTGATAATAGTGAGTGGTGCCTAATAAGTCAAGTGGTTGATAGTTGACATTTGCAAAAGGTCTTTTTTAATAAATGTTGTAATGATATTTTTAAAGAGATAAAATCCAAAAATATATATGCTAAAAATATTAAAAATAAAAAGCTTGTGAATCTTGAGTTTGAAGGATTCATGATGTATTTATAATCCATGAGTCTTGTATTTTTATACAAAGAAGAGGCTAAAGTGTATTTTTATCCCTGTGATATTTTGAGTTATATTTAATTCAAGATAATATATATTGAATCAATATAAAATACTAAAGGACCCGCATAAGATCCTCAAAAAAATCTCCAATTGAGTATAGGGCTCAAAGTGCGTGCTCGAGCCCATGAGGTTGATGCGGTGCATGCCCACCACCCTAAGAAATTAAATGCCAACGTGCCTAACACCCTAATTAAATGGATTTAGGTGCTATGCCTCGACCCAACAATAGGTGTTAGCAGGCCCTAACACACAAAATAATTGAGTCTGAGCTTGATAAAAGGTGCTGACGCGTCTAACACCCTAATTAATTACAGGGTGCTGGCGCCACATAAAACAAACAAAGATGAAAATTAGGTTAGGCTGAGAAAGACTATAATACTATGGAAAAATTAAAAAATATGAGAATAAAAAGTTATCTTCCATATCCAGTGAATTGTTATTTATCTTGAATATAATTACAAGCTAAATCCTAGCCCTTTTAAAATAACTAATCAACCGTATACATACTTTCATAACAACTAGCTTATAGTTAGTATCCTAACAAAAGAAAGAATAATTCTTTTCCAAATATAGAAGGTAGTTATCAAATATATCTTTAAAAAGAATAGCAATTCTTTTGACACAATATTTATTTTCAAACGAGATTCTTTTATTTTTTTTTTAATTTTTTTTCAAAAATATTAAGATAATGACTCTTTTTATTAGAAATATCCTTAATGTTAAATAATTAAATAATTTTTCTTACAAAGATCTCTACAATTAAATAATTTTTCTTACAAAGATCTCTGCATGACACAATTGTGTATGACACAATTGTGTATCTTTATCTGCATCTTGTTTTATTTTAATAACTCAATCTTTGATTAGTGTTATAAGCTTTATTAATGCATATAATTTTTTTTCAATTAAAATTATGCATCATTTTTTTGGTTTGTAATTCAAATCTTTCTTAATGGTGCAAAACACATTACCATTGCCTATAGTTTTTAGCCTTCATAAAAAAAATTAAGCTCGACCCATTGCGAAGCGTAGAGAAATGAATAGTTTACATAACTAAAAAAGTGAAGTGGCAATATCTTTAAAGGTGAAACGTATGATAAGCCTACATGGTAACAATACACTATTTTAACATAGGCAAACACATATAATAAAGCCTATGTGACAATAATATGTTATGATAAAATTAAAAAAATATAGTTAGATATGATTATGAGAATTTATGGGTTAAGTTTTGGTATTAACTATGCATTTACATGAACATAAAACTATTATCTATATTCGACTAATTATTGGATAGGTCTGGGTTGCAGATACCTAATCATGTCTCAAGTATCCTTTTAAATACCGATCACCTTAATGGTAGAAATATAGTTTTCATCATATTTATAAATACAAATATATACAATGTATAAATAAATTTCAATTTCAATTTCAATTTTTATTTTTTTATTTATTCCTTTTTAGTTTAAAAAAATTAATTTTTTTTAATTTTCTTATTTTATATTGTTAGGCATTTCTGTTTTTCCTAATTTAAAGGAATAATTTTCCTACTTTATTTTTTTTATTTTTCATTAAGTATTAATAGGGTTTTCTAGGTTTTTTTTTTAATATAAGGAGTTATAATAATCTTTTGATAAGTGCAACTTGAATAAATAAAAATTAAATGTTTTGAGTATTTCTCTATAGTTATGGTGTGTTTGGTGCTTAGAGGGGTTATACTTGTAATAAATCCTATTATCATTCGCTCCCATCTATATCAGTAATTCCTAATCTATATCAGTAATTCCTAACTTGTAATAAATCCTATTATCATTCGCTCCCATCTATATCAGCAATTCCTAATGGTTTTAGTTGGAGGTCATAAAGAACATGTATTATAGCTCAATTATTCTTAGTAGATAGTTATCGTATGTTATTGAATA